CAGGGCGAATCGCAAAAAGTGGGTTCCGTCATTATGTTACCATACTCCTGCAGGAAGTTATAAGGGCTTTGGTCGCGCGCCGTTCTCGCAGCGGTGTAGTTAGCAAAAGCAGCGTGAAAGCGCGCGAGGGCTGCGGCGGCCAGCAGCGCGTGCGGCAGCGATAGCGTCTCGCAGTAGTGCAGGGTCCTGTAGCCCTGGGCCGCCATGTCCGGCATCACCACCATACGCTCGTTGCACAGATACGCTCGGACAGTCCACGGAGTCGGGCCTACACATATACGAGTAAGTTTTAGTTGTAGTAAAGCTCACCTCCTTTAATTTCATTACTTACAATCGATTTTTAAGTAATGAGCAATTTTTAATACTAACTTGGAGCTAAAATTTCTTATTCACGATTGCTCATCAAATTACAATAATAAAATGTCGGAAACAACGCAATACAAACCCTCAGCTCCGCGCATTTCTTCCGCCAGTCGCAGCGCCACCGCCTCCCTCTTAAAGTAACAGTTTGTGTCAATGAACTGTGCCTTGGGAGCGTTGGAAGCGGGCATGGTCTTCACGAAGAGTCGTATCTTCTTAACGAGGCCGTCGCTCTTCACGTGCAGGGTGACACGAGAGTGGTCGCCCAGGAAGCCGGCCAGGCCTGCGCTTGCCGGCTGTCGGTCGCAGGCTATCACCTGCCAGCCACCAGCGCGCCGCTCGCCCAGGTATTTACTTATAATCTGGTGTATCTGCTTCTCGGTAAAAATGATCTGAGTACTCGATAGTTCGCGCGACATCCTGAACGCGTAACACTTTGGTAGTGTTAGTAGGCACGCTAGTACTTATCTCGTTGCCTATGATTTTATATCGGTTAGGATTTATAATTGGGATTATTTATTAAATAATTGTATAAGGAGCGGTATCTTGCAATATGAACTCTGCGTCTTCCGCACAAGGTCTCCCGAGCGCTGGCACAGCAGCTGCTATAAATATTGAGGTAGTAAATTTGCTCGCAGATTATGTTAGACATTTGTCATTCCATATATTTGTTCTCTTGTCTAAGCATTACCTATATTGTAAATTATAATTATTAATAGAATTATTTGCATAGTGTTTTTGTTTATGGCGAGCTTTGAGACTTAATTCCTAGACCAACCCGAACTTACCTCAACTATAGAGTCTCTACCACTAAGTCTATACTATTTAAATAAAATAAAAAAACTAAATAAAAATTTAAAAATGTTTATTAAAAAAATACACAATAATAACATAGCGTTAACAATATAATATGTAAATTTGAATACAAAAACAGGCATCAGATCAACATCTCCTCTTCACTTGGACAAGCTTACATTATACATAAAGATAATTTAATCGGGATGCAAAGGCAATTTATTTCTGCCCATGGCATTTAATTAGCACTAAAATTGAGGAAATTACCACTCTGAGTGCGACTGTAAGTGCTCACTATTTAGAAACAATCACAGCTCCCTCTGGAAGAACTACGTCACTGTTTAGGAAGACACGGAAATGTTCTTAAATCTATAAATAATATACATCAAGTTCGTTGTTTCTTGTTGTTGGCAAGATTAAATCAAAGTACTATAAATAACTATCAAATAACAAAAACTTTTATATAAATACTTAGCTACGACGCTTTCACACAATTACATAATAATTGTTTATATATTAAAAATTACTCTATTATATTTAAAATTGTAGTTACAAGTATATAAATGTACATAAAACAATCGATTGCCGTTTACGAGTATTATTATAGCATATAAATAAAGCTTTGCGTTTACAATAACATTGGAAGAAGACCTGAGCTGATGGTGGAAGACTACGATGTCATCACTTGTCTCTCGTAACTAACGAAATAACGCCTTATTTTCTATCTTATATACTAAAGTACATAAAAATAATATGATTATTCAATAAATGTAACTAAACAAAGACATAACATATAGTGATAACAAACATAAACTTCCAGATGGAATGATATTGCAGATATCTCTGTATTCAAAGATTCACCATTTTTGGAATGTTTCAAAAATATTCAAAATTACACGTTTAATATATTTATATTTACTTGAATAGTAAGTTTGTTTTTAAACGTCATAATATTATGTGTAGTTGTCACTTCAACACTTCAACAGAACAAAATCCTATATCATATATGAAAGTAAGAAGGGGTCAGTTAATTTGTAACACCTTGAATAAGATAAAACCATTTTTATGTTCAAACGAACATCATTGACACGTCGTCACTCAGAAATTTGTACATTTTATCAAAGTGTTTTATGTTTCCCCAAAATAAAGACCATTCCCAACAGAAACGATGAATTCAAAGAGAACTTCCGAGTTATGTCAACCAAAATGAACATGTGTCCATGAAGTAGTGAAGGTATCGAAGCTCGTGTGCAGCGCGGGAGAGTTTGTCAGTGGCGGAGGAGGTGGTAGTGACAGACAAGACGACGCGAGAGATTGTGAAAAAATGTAGTTGTTAAATTAGTTTAGTTAATTAATTGGGGGTTCGTTTGGGATTATTTCCATTAAAAATACGACATTACGATGTAAACAATGGAATAGATGTCTGTTCTCGCAAACGAAAAGGAAAAAGGATCCAAAAAAGTGAATTCATTTGGAAACGTATTTGTGAACATTGACATCGAAGTAAATCACAACTGAAAGCAATTCATACTTTGACATATGTAAAGGTGAGACACGTGGAGTTGTTCCTGTTCGTGGCGGTCA